CAAACCATCTATCCTTAGCTCTCTCCTGGGCATAGTAAGGCAGCGAGACACAGATGTTCAAATTTCCCACTAGACTCTATTTTTAGACACATCTAATACATCAAAATGGCAGACAGAAACCTTTGTCAGGTAGAAAAATGTCTTGAGAATGGAAATAATTATTAGGGTTATCCCAAATGGCAATTTTTGGGGTTTTTGGCACTTCAGTGAATGTCCAAGTCTTCAGCCCGGGCTGGGGGTGTTGCAGAGCTGCAGTTGAACACTTTCATCTCTGCTCAGCTGAGATCACACTGTAACGTGTTTATACAGTACAGCCCTTTTCAGGTCATGAGATAAGTAACACTGCTGCTTGATCAGTCTGTTAAACAGACAGCTTTCTGTCATTCTGATATAGGACACTTACAATATGGGCAATTAAGCCATACCCATGACAATAAATAAGCAGCACTGCAATAATGCAACACTGAGAAGAGATACTACAAAAAATATTCACTCTTTGATATCACCAAAATCACTTAAAGCATTTCTGGTCTCCAGCTGGTTATACCACAACACTTAGTGTGGAAAACAAATGCGTCTAAGAGCAAAGCTATTTTTATAGCACCTCTTTTCAGTGTTGCACTTTGTAGACGGTCCTTTTGCAACTGTCTCATAGCCAGCTCCACATACACTTCTTCATCAGAATGGCTTGTTTAGATGACAATTAGGCTGTAAATCATCTGTCTGCCATACCATGGTAAAGCAGAAGAAGTACTCAGATTATTTATTTGAATAAAAGTAGCAATTCCACAGTGTAAAAATACTCCATTAAAGGTAAAAAAGTATTACCAGAAAATATACTTTAAGTTTGAAAAATCTAAGAGCAAGGACCATGACATCGCCTGGCATGGCACAACCGCATGGCCCCACTCTGGAGCCAGGCCCGAGGTTGGGGCTCGAATGCGAGCGCCTGGCATCTGGGCCTAGCCTGAATGAGCGATGTGGGGACATCCTCCCATGGGCCCACCACCTGCAGTAGGATTCGTAAGGGGCTTGTGCACAGTGGGCCGCAATCAAAGGCAAGGGCCCCACCGAACTGATCTCTGGACACAGAGACTAGCCCTGGAGACATGGAATGTCACCTTGGTGGTGGGGAAGGAACCTGTGCTTGTGCAGGAGGTTGAGAGCTACCGGGTAGAGATAGTCAGGGTTGCTTCCACGCACAGCTTGGTCTCTGGAACCTTACTCCTTGAGAGAGACTGGACTCTCCACTACGCTGGAGTTGCCTGTGGTGAGAGGCGGGGGGGGTGCGGGGAGGGTCGCTTCTGTGCGCCTTCGGGCCAGGGATAGGTCTCTCACTGTCATTTGTGCCTATGGGCCGAACGGCAGTGTAGAGTACCCGGCCTTCTTGAAGTCTCTGGTGCTGGAAAGTGTTCCGACTGGGGACTCCGTTGTTCTACTGGGGGACTTCAATGCTCACGTGGGCAACAACAGTGATACCTGGAGGGGCGTGTTTTGGAGGAACGGCCCCCCCAATCTGAACCTGGTGTTCGTTCTTTTACAGCACACTCAAAGCGCTTTCACATTATTTGGCCATTCGCACTCCCAAGCACTCACACATTCACCCACTGGTAACATCACCGGGAGCAACTGGGGGTTCAGTGTCTTGCTCACTTCGACATGTTGACTGGACAAGCTGAGAATTGAACCGCTGATCCTCTGGTTAGGAAATGACCCACTCTACCTCCTGCGCCACAGCCGCCCCCTTAGTTGCAGTTTGTCCATAACAAAGACCATTTTCAAGCATAAGGGTGTCCGCCAGTGCACATGGCAGCAGGACACCCTAGGCCAGAGGTCGATGATCAACTTTATGGTTGTTTCATCTGACTTCCAATCATATGTCTTGGACACTTGGGTGAAGAGAGGGGCAGAGCTGTCAACTGATCACCACCTGATGGCAAGTTGGATCCGATGGTGAGTGAGGAAGCTGGACAGACTTGGCAGAACCAAATGTATTTAAGGGTCTGTTGGGAACATTTGGCAGAACCCCTGTCCGGGAGATCTTTAACTCCCAACTCCGGCAGAGCTTTGACCCTATCCCGAGGGAGACTGGAGACATTGAGTCTGAATGGACCATGTTCTCTACCTCCATTGCTGATGCGGCCACTTGGAGCTGTGGCCGTAAAGTCTCTCGTGCCTGTCGTGGTGGCAGTCCCCAAACCTGGTGGTGGACACCGGAAGTAAGGGATGCCGTCAAGCTGAAGAAGGAGTCCTTTCGAGCTTGGTTGGCTCGTGGGACTCCTGAGGCAGCTGAAAGGGTACTGGCAGGCCAAGCGAACTGTAGCCCAGGTGGTTGTGGAGGCAAAAACTCCAGTCTGGGAGGAGTTCAGTGATGCCATGGTGAGGGGCCATCGGCAAACCATCCGGCACCTCAGGAGGGGGAAGCAGTGCCCTGCCAAAACTGTTTACAGTGGAGGTGGGGAGTTGTTGACCTCAACTGGGGATATCGTCGGATGGTGGAAAGAAAACTTCGAGGATCTCTTCAGCCACAGCGTCATGTCTATCGATGAGGAAGCAGAGGCCAGGGACTCAGAGGTGGACTCGTCCATCTCCCAAGCTGAAGTCACAGAGGTAGTTGAGAAGTTTCTCGGTGGCAAGGCACCAGGGGTGGATGAGATCCACCCTGAGATCCTTAAGTGTCTGGATATTGCCTCTGCTGACATGCCTCTGCAACGTCACATGGCGGTTGGGGACAGTGCCTCTGGACTGGCAGACCAGGGTTTTGGTCCCTCTTTTCAAAAAAGGGGACCTGAGGGTGTGTTCCAACTATAGGGGGACCACACTCCTCAGCCTCCCCGGGAAAGTCTATGCCAGGGTACTGGAGAGAATTCGACCGATAGTCAAACCTCGGATTCAGGAGGAACAATGCGGTTTTCATCCTGGCCACAGAACACTGGACTAGCTCTATACCCTCTTCAGGGTGGTGAAGGGTTCATGGGAGTTTGCCCAACCAGTCCACATGTGTTTTGTGGTTCTGGAGAAGACATTTGACTGTGTCCCCCACGGCACCCTGTGGGGGGTGTTCCGGGAGTACGGGGTCTGGGGCCCTTTGCTAAGGGCCATCCGGTCCCTGTACAACCGGAGCAGGAGCTTGGTTTGCATTGCCGGCAGTAAGTCAGACTTTTTTCCAGTGCATGTTGGACTCTGGCAGGGCTGCCCGTTGTCACCGGTTCTGTTCATTATTTTTATGGACAGAATTTCTAGGTGCAGCCAGGGGCCGGAGGGAGTCCGGTTTGGGGACCACAGGATCT